GGGTAGCCCATTCAAGGTGCGCTCACTTACCCTTCCCGCTCTCGGTGCGCAAAACGCGGGGTTCCCGATCCCTTGAGGCAGAAATTTGGGAGATAAGTTGTGAGTTAAGGGGGGGGGGGGAGGCGTATGACGTTGATTTTACCTATTCCAGTACGGTAACCTGATTTCAACTGTTTTTTTTTCAGTGTTCCGCGAGTACCTGTGGTTGTTTGCGACGGCAGTGGTCGTGCGGCCGATCTCCTAGCGTTTGCCCATCAGACAGTTCGAGAAAACGGGTAAGTTTTGGCTGTGCAAAGATACATCGATTAGTTTCGTTGAGAACACGGTCCATGCTGATCGTGTGGGCGAAGTTAGGCCTACTGCAGTGTCTTCCTCATTGAATCCATCCCGTCTCTTCACCACCTGTAAAAGGAGCGTGTACCATTGGAGAAGGCACAGTGGCTGGCCTAGCTTCCCCCACAGCACTGGCGTGATTGGCTATTGAGCATATAACCTTTTTTGAGCTTCTTTATCTTATTTTTGACGGTAATGAAGTTCACGTTGATTTGCAGCTCCTTCCCGGATGGTGTCCGCCCTCAACTTGCAGAACTAGTACAGCGAGTGTTTGACTGTGGAGGAGCTACTGCGGACAAAGTCGTCACAGAACTGATAATGTGCACCCAACAGAAGCATCTTGTACGTCGAATTCCTCTTCCTCAGCCGAAACGGGAGGGTAGTTTCGCCTGTTTCAGATGACAGTCTTCCGTCTCGGCGAAAAGGGTGGACAGGACGTCGATCACGCGATACTCAGCGCTCTCTTGAAGGTATCATTGCAAAGACACCATCTTTCACGGTGAAGCTCAGTTGGTACGATTTTTATTTAGGGCCAAAATTTATCCCCTGCCGATCAGCTCGCTCTGGCACTGGCATGGAGTCGTGTCGACATTGCACGTTCGGATATTTTCACCTCTGGACAGGTAGCACTTTAGCAATGTCTTATCTCTAAAACTTACCATCACGGCCCAATCCGTGCTGGTCGCTTGAGCGGTGACACCCAGCCATTGTGCCTCTCTCATTGTGCTTTTCTTCTCTGAGCGATAAAGAGAATGAGAGCACCAACGAGCATTGTACAATGGTTGGGTGACTCCGCCCTTACGACCAACCTGGAATGTATCATCAACTCTTTCACCACTCGGATAAGCGTGAACGTTTTTTCGCGTTTCAGATTCAGTTGTTAAGTTTGAGCGTTTTCTGGTTCAGGACTGGCCACAGTCAGCACTCCATAGCGCTATGATGGAAGCACTGATTAATGATCGCGTTGATTTCGTCCGTCTTCTACTGGAAAACGGTGTCAATATGCAACGATTCCTCACTATTGGACGACTGGAAGAACTATATAATACGGTAATTACTGACGCCTTTCACAGTTTTACTGATACTTTTGAGATAGTTATGCATCGGGGGATCAACTGAGCATTTGAATGTCACGTCCTTTTCTGATTTAACTTTTTTTTCGCAATACTAGACTCATTGGTTCTTCCCTAAGGTTCATTTATCAATCTGCTTTGTGTACAACCCAGGAGGTCCACCTTGCGGCGGTACAGCACTGCGAGCGGCGTCGCGCGCGACGACATAATTTCTACGCGCGGCCTTTACGCAGACTCCTTTGCCGACACCCATCTGTTTTGGCTTGACGTTCGCTCTTTTAAAAGTTTCAACGATTCTCTGTTTTAGGACAAAGGACCCGCGAACACTCTGTACTACATTGTAAGAGACGTTGTGAAGGTCCGGCAAGGGTATCGGTACAAGTAAGTTTTCCTTAGTTATTTTGATGCTTATATATTTGTACTGCTTTTGAATATTTTAGTGAATGTAGAGCCTTGCTCGCTGCGCAGCCAGGAGCCCTTGAAGGGGGCTGGTTTTGGCGCTTTCCCACTTTTCCAGCCACCATCCGCTTTTCCTAAAGTAATGGTCGCCTGTCAGCTTCAACAGTTGGTTGCCGCTCCAAACCCAGCCTCTTTCAACTCTCTAGCGTCCGCAGCGAATAAGACGTTACTGTACCCGTCGTCCACAGCCCAGCTCCGTTTTCAGATTGCCTCATGTTGGACTAGTCATCGAGAAACTGATGGGGAATGCGTACAAGTCGTCATATACTACGTCCGAATTCCGGTCAAAGTATAGTGCCTTTATGAAGAAATTTAGGGTTTGTGGGATGTTTTCTTCTTGTGAAGCGAATTTCATTTTTATGCTCTCCTACTTCAGCTTCTGTTCCTTTGGAGTTACCTTTTTAAGGGACGAGGCAACGGTGGTAAAGGAGCACCTCCTGGCAGTGGCAGTACTGCTCGATCTCGTGGCGGCTCCGGCGCTATGTCACGCCAGTCAACGGAGCCGAGTGGATTTCTTGGTGGATTCGCGGCACCTCCTCCAGCGGAACCAATAGCCGAAGGTGTAGCGGCAGCCAGTGGAAGTCGTGCGCTTTCCAACCATATTCTTTGGCGATCAGCTTTTCGAAGAGATGTGAGTTTAATTGATGGCACTATAACTCATTAGAGCGAGTTGGTCATAATAGCTAAAAAAATCTATGAGGATTTTATGGGCGGAGACGGTCAACTATTGTACCTTTTCGCTGGAGTCCTCCTCCTCTAGGTAAGGGTAAGCAAAAAAAAGCATCCAAGGAGGGAGGCAGTATTTGATTTTATCCGCCCATACGATCAGCGTGGACGGCACGTTTTACTTGTCTTATCATGTCAATAAAAACTGTCAATACATATGCAACTAGGGTGGCCAAAAAAAAAAGTCACTTTGACCAAGTCACATATCAACGAAGTTTTCGCAGCCCAGACAGGGGAAGTGGATATGAGTACCAGAGTGGAAGATACCCAAGATCTTCCTCTATAAGCTGGAGCAGGCTGCCGCCAATCGCCTTCATGTACGCCAAAATATGAAGTCATCTCCAGTCGCGGCCTGACTGGAGAACACCTTTGGAATTCACGTCGCCTCCAAACAGGCTTGCCGAAAACTTCTTTGTTGAAGTCATCACCACAAGAATAGGCTACCTGGAGGTCAGTACTCTTGATCTGCAAGACCTCCCACATCGAGCAGCTTCCTCAACTTCGCTACGGTCTAGGACATCATCTTCACCGTGTTCGCCGAGGCGCGAGTTGATGGTATGGACCGGGTTACCTGGAAAGGGGAAGACCGGTATTTTCTTTGTAGACCCCGACTGAAGGTGAGCGCTGGCGGTTACATCAAGTAACTCGAGAAGAATATCCTCCCTACATGTGGTCGCCCGTACCTTCTTGGAGACCTTGTGCTGCTACAGGTTTGGGTGCCACCACATGGAATCAAAGGGTTTTGGAAAAACTCCCGCCTACTTCGAATGGAAGGGCGTTTCGTATCTGAAGAAGATGTAATATTGAAGTATGTCCGCGCTGAACCTAAACCCCACTCAATTACCCGGTTTTCGGCGGAGTTCAATAGGGTGTCTACGGTTGCGAGAAGTCGACTACCCGCCGCTGATGCTCAGGTACACATACAGCGGTCGCGTGCCAGAATCTCTCGATGGCGTTCGTCCAGAAGGCTGTGGCGGAGTGTCGTGATAGTACTTAATGTGCTCTTCAATATGGTAGTAAAAATGTCCGATCAGAATTTGATAAAGTGTAATTTATAGCGCCTCGAAAGTCAATGAGGCAAAGTGACTTTTTTTTGGCCACCCCTGTATATGGTAGCTAAAGCAAGAAGAACCCATCTGGGCATATTCGCCTGCTCCAATCCGCATTCTTTAAATTTTTTTCCTTTTCTTCTTTGGCGTAGTTCGGCTTGGTGGGGGAATCGAGCAGTAATCAACTAAGGTTGTAGACTTTACAGGCCACCTTGTGAAGACCTGTGAAGTTCTGAGACAAGAGCGGCTTATCGTGCAATTTTGCAGCATCACAGAAG